TGAAATGAATGAACTTTTTTTTTAATCTGGTGAATTGTCGACCGAGAGAAAATCCTTTCGCTTTTCCAACACTGCCCTGGCATCGTTTAACGTCCAACTGAACAGGCAGATGGTATGTCTCATCCAAAGGACCCACAGCAGTGCAGTGCTCCCACCACTGAACTCTGGTGTCAGTCTAGACTGTGAGCTCAATGTCCCGACACAGGGTTTGAAACCACAACCTTCTGAACCAGAGGCGAGAGTGCTACGTGTGATTCAAAGGGGATGGTGAGAGACCTCGGGGGAGTTTGTTGACTAATTGCTCAGTGGGGCAGAAATTTTACCAGGGTCTATAAGTGTAGCATTTTTAAGAGGGTCTAAAATTTGTCAATTTCTTCATTTTGAAGCTGTTTTATTTTTCTAAGTGCAGTATTAGTTAGTATTGAGTACCTACCATCCTGCTCGCTCCCTCCGCTCAGTGGGCTCCGGCCTGCTTCACATCCCCCGCCTCGTTCGCCCCACTATTGGTGGGTGGGCCTTCTGTCACTCTGTCCCCGCTCTCTGGAACGCCATCCCGAGGTCCCTCCACCTCACCCCCTCCCTCGCCACTTTCAATACCCACCTCAATACCTTCCTTTTCGATCTCCCTGCTCCCCCCCTACCCTCCCCTCTCCCCAACCCTGACCCTCAGCTCAGGTCCGTAACTCTGTCTGTCCAGTGCCTTGGGACGCCCTCCCGACGTGAAAGGCACTTTACAAATATAATTTTATTGTTATATTTTAAGAAACTATAGAGAACCGATTTGAAACCTAAGACCAAATTCAACAATTTGCCGAATTCTGCAATTGGTACATAAAATCTAGACCCAGGTGGAATTTCTAGCCAGTTATGTCCAAACAATGTGAGGCAGCAAAAAATAAGGCTAGCGGGGGTCTGAACCATTGGGTCACCAGATGTCATGTCAAGCTGGTCAAAGTGCTGTGGACAGGTTGCACCTGGACACCAGAGTTTTATTCTGATCTGCACAGCATCAGTGAGCAGCCCAGGCCCTAAAGGCAATGCAAACAAAAGCAAATACACTGATCCGCAGTGTCGCAGGGATGAGGTGTGAGGAACAGCTGCTAAATTGGAGCTTTTCAGCCTCAAAAACAGACTTCTTAAATGGGATTGGAGTTGAGGAACAGATCAGCCATGATTTAATGGTCCGGCGGAACAGGCTCGAGGGGCTGAATGGCCTACTCCTGATCTTCTGTTCCTATGGACCTTACAGAGGGGACGTTATACAAGATGGAATTGAGGGAGTAAAATGTGTTTCCTTGTTACTTCACAAACTATCCAGGCAGTTTGCGGGTTTAACACTTGTGATTGTTAGTAGCAAAGCGCAAGGAGTGCACAATCAAACTCTTGACAGATGTAGTAATAACAATACAAGGCAAATGGGATTTGAGTCGAGAGCTGCAGTGAGGGGGAACGAGCACCAGCACAGGAACAGTGGGCCGAATGGATATCACGTGAGCCTGGCTTCAAAAAGTGAAGATTCCTATTTTAGTTTAAAATCTCCCCACCCCCTACATCGATTCCAGCTACCTGGGGTGTGATTATTTCAGAGTCATTGCCATTCCTAGATGCTGGAGTTACTTTTTGCAAATAGTTTTAAGTGACCTGGTGCCAGCAGTGCTTGAGTCATCCCATAGTAATAAATCTGCTTTGTATTTATAGGACTTTTATAGATTCAGTAATTGTAACAGAATACCTACTGACTCTTTTAATGACACAATAAAGCAGCCCCTCATTGGCTGACTTGTCTTTCAGAGTCACCGAATCATAAAAGTATTTTCAGCAAAACCGTGCGTTTGTAGCTTTTTCTATAAACAAACAAAATTGCTACGTACTGGCTCAGTGATATTTAATCCATGCTTAACTTTACTGCCCAAACTTGGTTGTCGTTGAGATGGACGCAATATTTTCGCCCAAACACCAACGGAATTTTCCGTAGCTCTTCCCTCCCTCCCTCCCTTCCCGCTCACTTTCAATTTCCTCTTTGAATAAGCACCTAATCGCCGTGAATTCTTATCTCTTTGGGGACAAAGTGGTTCTCCTATTAATTAAATTCTCGTAACTTTTAATTCATGTGCAAACAACGTCTTATTTTCTCAACTTGCAAGTGTCTGGATCGACATAACTGAAAAGGGCAGCCTTTCAATTGACCTTTCCAGACATTCTCTGTCACGTAGAATGATTATCATAAGGAGCCACCGATAATCATGAACACTCTCACAAGATACCTATTTGCTTAACCCTTCCCCCATCCTCTCCAGCTCATTTCCATCCCCATTCGCCCCTCTGTTCAAGAATGCATTTACTTTGCTGGAGCAAAGGATTTGCCCCTAGCCCTTCTGTGTGATGTTGTTGCGTCGGTTGATATTGCTGTAAGACCCGAATATGTTAATACGTAAGACAGAAAATATCACATTTCCATATGTCTGACTCCTCACTGGCCTCTTGTCTTCTGGAAGAGCTGGGCCCAGAATGTTTGAGAGCGATAAAAGATTTACAGGAACAGTTGCTGGGTCTCAGTAGACGTGGACTGAATTTATATCTGCGACATAATCCTCAGAACACACACGGTCCTAGCCGGTAAGTGGTGATACAAGATACAAATGGGAAGTGATTTTGCATTTTGGTGCTGATTTTGCGATATTTCTTAGCATGAATTTAAATGAACATTATACTTTACTCGTAGAATTTAGTACTTTCCTATGAATGTATAAATGGCCCCACAAACAGGTGGCGTCCTTTAGATGAGACATCAAACCAAAGTCCCGTCGATCTGTACCCATTCAGATGGATGTTAGAGATCCCGTGACACTATTCGGAAAGAGAAGGGAGATTTTCCTAATGTCCTGGCCAACAATCTCCCCAGATAAAATAGCTCACTCACTACAACACTCTCAATCCAATACAATACTTGCTATTACTTGTGTGCTAGATTTATTTAGCATTTTACATTTAAAAAAAATGTTTTTATGCTTTGGAAGATGTGCTTGGAAATCTGGATTTAATGGTCTCCCTTTGGAAACCTTCGGAATGTCAATTAAATGGTCAAAGATGGGGAAGGTATGATTTCTGCATACGCCTACTGCCATTTGGCACTTGCTCGCCCCAAGTCCCACACAGAGCAATTAAGGGTGGCTGCTGGGAGATGTGGAAAAATTCACACACACAACCTTTGAAGATTATTAAAAAATAATAATAGTAATTTGGTCACTCAATCCACGACTGTTTGTGGGACACTGCTGTGCGTAATTGGCTGCCGCGTTTCGCTCACAAAATATACAATCAATTCACTTTATAGTGTATCCTGTGAAGCGCTTTGAGACGTCTGGAAGACATGATAAGGCACTGTATCAATTGCAAGGATTATTATTATTAATAGATGTTCTAATGTTGAGGAGAGGGGAACTGGTTGCCATTCTACCAGACCATCGAACAAATTCCTGACCTGGGAGCACTTGGTGTCAGTAAAGTATGCACCTCATTGACACAAACATTTGTTATAAGAGAGTAAATATCCCACACCATAAAATAAAAGCCGCCTTTAATTGAAGTTGGATAATTGTACTGAGGACTATCAAGCCATTAACCACAAAAACAAACCCTTTTCTTTCAGGCTCTATATTTTTTCGGTCAAAAGCAAAAAACAGGCAAAAAATTTGACCCACAGAGGAGGAGGTAAATGAAGCACTGAGGAGGAGGGGGCTGATACTCTATTATTATACTGGATTAAATGTCTTTGGATGAATTTGGTTGATGTAGATCATACCAATACAGCAGAATTAACATTTTCAACCCAACGTTCAAAATGTGCACATGTGGTACACATAAAGTTATTTTTTGACATTCCGTGATAATTGTAGAAACTATTAAGTTGTTTTCATAGGAGACGTGAGTGGTTCTGCTGCCAAAAAAACACATCTTTGACATTTTTGGTCGTGACTTCACTGGAGGTGGACAAGCCAGCTAATCGTCGAGGTCAAGATGAGCTTCGAACTGAGTCAGGAGATTTGGCTCAGATCATCCAGGGCAGAGCGAGTAGTTGCGATGACTCCTTCCCTTTTATATCCAGGAGCAGAGAGGAGGCGAATGCGTCAGTGACTTATTGTAATAAGCCGTTGATATTTGTTTTGGGGCCAGCTGTGTCTCTGACACAGGCAGAAACCCATCACCATTGCTTAAGAGCATCCAAACCAGACTTGAGAGTTCCACGCATCCCACCTACACTTGGAAATTTCCATGTTTGGAATGGAATGCGCACTCTCTCCCTGGCGTCCAAGCACCCTGCTTACTTCATTCTGGAGAGGTTGGCAAGAAACGAGGCTTGGAAACTCTAAGAGTTGGAGGTAACTGCTGGGGCTTAACCGGCGAAAACCACATTGCTTGGCATTATATGCCTTATCACATCGTCAAAGTGTCTCAGTTGGTAGGTAGTATTCCCACCTCTGAGGTTATCGGTTACCACCCCAGTGGCAGTGTTCCCCATTGTTTTACCGCTGTTCATGACAAGAGGTGTTGTCACCGCAGTACAGTACAGTGCAGACACGATGGAGAAAGAGCAGGGAAAGGGATGAGGGTGGAGAGCTCCGGTGAGGGGGAGCGAGCACTAGCACAGACACGATAAAGAGCAAAGAATTGCAGTGAAGCACTTTGGGATGACCTCCTGACGTGAAAGGCGTAATTCCAACTGTAAGGATTATTATTATTATTAATAAAATTGGAATTAGAGTGGATAGTTCCATTGGAGAAGCTAGCACCATCATTGGTATATAATAATAATAATAATAATGACAGGTGAGTAGTTGACTGGGAGTAGAGAACTCCGGCGAAGGTACCAGCACAAACACAAAGGCCTAATAGGCCATGTTCTATGCCTTTCCACGTTGAAGAGCTTTGTTGGCTTTCAGATGCAATGAACACCTCTTTGATTCAGATCAAGCCGGAAGCAGTTGACAACACTAGTGGGATTTTGACGACTGGTTATACTTTTATTAGTTTGTAAAGATGAGCGAGACAATACCGTGTCAGTACATAAATAAGGTACAAATGCCTTCAAAGATATTGTCAACATATTCCGCAGGTTTATGGATCAAAGGAGGAAACTTAACGTAACACAGACAAGGGATATACATGAAGTGATTTGGATATTAATGTACATACATTGACTGGCTAAAAAAAACATACTCAAGAAAATTAAGGTCAGAAATGTACTTTTGATATAATATAAATAAATACATGCTGGGATCACCCTCCACACTTTGTCCTCCCCAAAGCCGCTTGCTTCTGTTTTCCTTCTCATATAATACTTGTGATAAAGAGAGATAACCCCAATTTGTTTGTTGACTTTCCAATTTTCTCCTTGCTTAGGTTGCATTTTGGAGGAGCTCTTTAATATGAACAGAGCCACACACTGCAGGCCAGCTACAGACCAGGGTTTTAATTTGGCAGACCCTTCTTATTTCAAAGTTCGCCCATGCCTTCACCCCGCCCTCCCTCCCCCTCTCCCTCGCTCTCTCTCCCCCTCCCTCTCTCTCTTTCAGCAGTGTCCCTTGTCTGATTTGTTCAGCTGTAGAACCTTTAGCAAGTCGTCCAGCTCTGTCTTACACTCTCTGTTCTTGCATATTCGGCTGATTTGTGCTTCACCCTCTCGGAATATCTTCCACCGACCTGGACGAGAAACACATAAGTTACACCATATAAATAAGGAGTTTTACAGCTCTCTAGTATTCAACAAAGTTGGGTCTGGGTAAGCACTCCGAGAAGCTCTTCATGTGAAGGGTGCTATGTAAATGTTGACAAGTTGAGACAAAATGGTCTTGAAGGCAAAGACTCGGTGAAATTTCAGGCCTCAGATCCTGGACACGAAGCATCAAATAATGGAACGATAAGGGAAGTGCACTTTGAGCACTGGGCACGAGTCAAATTGATTGGGAATAATCCATGTACTTCCTCCCCCCCACCCCTACCCCCACATTACCCTACCACCATTAGCTCCATCACTGGAGCTCCATTGTGGTCCCATTTCCTTGGGCATTTGGTACTTACTTTGAGTGGTCTGTGTGAGCAGTGTAAAAGTTCCGTGGTTGATCTGTTTCTCAAAGTCTTTCCTCGATACTTTCTCCGTGCGGAAGTGATACAGAACACCTAATGTTGGGAAACAACGGACGCAACATTGGAAATTCCAACACTCATCAGGGATGTTCATCCTGTTGTGAACTAAGGCACTGACTTGCTGCCGGGCAAATACATTTCAGAGGAACGCATTCCCAAAGCAGTTTCTCACCGATACATCACCAGAGTGTTACTGAAGCTACTGAGCAGGTCTTATTGGAATTCTGCGTTAAGGTTTTGAGGTACCGTTGATGTGCAGAGATGTGAAAAACAAAATAAGAATAAGAATCCTTGCATTTGATAGCTCCTTATCACGTCTTTGAGATGTCTCATGTCTCATGGAATATACTATATAGTGTAGTGACTGTATATTCTGTGGGCAAAACCGGCAGCCATTTGCGCACAGCAGTATCCCTCAAATATGATTGAGTGACCAAATTTTTTTTTTTGGTCTAGAGCCTAAGGCCAACCGGTAAGCAAAACAGGTGAACAGCGAGGGTGATGTTTGCAGAAATTCTGTATCAAATGTACCTTTTATTAGTGTCCAGATGTGGACTTCCACCTCGGGGAGGCTGTCGATCTTCACAGCAATTTTCTTGCTGTATTTTTGAGACTCGGTGTCCTGGACTGAGAAGGATTCGTAGACCGGAACCGTTTCCTCTCCACAGCTCAAATCCTTCCCTTCATCTCGGGTAAACCCAGTCTCCTCTAGTGCTGGGTGGGGGGGTGGGGGGTAAGGAAGAGGAGGGGGTAAGGAAGGGAGTAATCAGAATTATTATTACTGTTTTCTTTGAACTTTGACATTGAAATGGAATGACTGTCTCTGACATGGCTGCACCATTTCCAAACCTCTTCCTACAGGTGACGTTTCAGAAATGAACAGATACCTGGGCAAACCTTGCAGCATTTCCCCTCTAGTTTTTGTGGGTATTTGCAGGGGTAGGTCTCGGGGCAGTGGATCTTCTTACACTCCTGCTTTGACACATTGCACGTACACAGCACGCACTCCATCACCCCAAAGAGCCGCAGTGTCGGGTGCCAGGACTGTCCGTCTGAGTAGGTCTTTCCATTAGAGATACAGACTGAGAACACAACAGAGAGGGCAATCAGCTCAATGGGAGTGAATCGGCCTGAGAAGCTTTCGTGGCTATACATGGTCCAGTATAAAGCTACACGCACATTCCTGTTCCCCTCCAATCCCAATCATTATGTCTGTCTTAAGTCTTTTGCATTTTGGAACAAGTGCAACAAACCTAATAATAATCCTCGCGTTTGATACAGCACCTGGAGCAGTGAAGCTTCTCAAAGCGCTTCACGGAGGAATTATTGTCACCCGTAGTGACTGCGTGTTTGCAGGCAAACGCAGCAGCCATTTTGCACATCGCATATTACGCTATGCTCCGAGCCGCTACCCCACGTATCAAGCACGATATTAAATGCAAGTTGTTGTATCCTGAAGCCAACGACTGTTTATCCACGGAAATGTCAACCAGAATAACAGGAGGAACTCCCTTCTCTTTTCAAATTTTGTCGTGAGATCCTTAACGTCCAGCTGAACGGGCAGAGAGGGCCTCAGTTTGACATCTCATCTGAAGGTTGGTACCTCTGACAATAATGGGAGAAGGAAAGGTAATTTTGTGAAGCTCTGGTTACCTCTGCCGTGCTTGTGCTTGCTGTTGATCACAATCTGGACAATGGTTCCAGATCCCTGTTGAGGGTCGGGCAGCTGCACTCGAGGTCTTAAACTCGGGACCCGAGGTGTACTAACAACAGGATCTCCAGAGGGGCCTCGAGATTCATGTGTCTTCGGGTATGAGTGCCTCTGTCCCAACAAAGTCAAGAGTGTTAGAAGTTCAAAGGTCTGGATTGTTCTATTACAATGCCAATTCCAAGGCCTAAAATTTCACCCGGTATTTGCTTGCAAGTTCATTTCATTTCAAAGATCGTTGGCTCATGGAAAATTCTGAATTTTAAGCTTGATTTGGAAGCTGGTTTTCTTTTCAAGAACTGCAGAAAAGCAGCTCCTGAATTAAACCTGAAATTAGGAATTTTGTGCAACTCCGCGTCACCTTTAATTGTAAGACAAAATGATCTTACAGTCAGTTTTGGGCATGTCTTCAAGCCACAGTACATGTTCCCTTCCTGGAGACCACAGGAAAGAAGGATTCATGTGCCTTGCGGACTTTAAGCCAACTCTTTGACCAGCAGTTGTGAACTTTCAACATTTGGAGGGAGCAGGAAGTTTGCCAGTGCTCTCAATGCCAGGCCGTTGCAGTCTTAGCTGGTTAAACTCCAGCAGTTACCCCAAGGCAGACTCTCGGCTCTCTAATCCTTGGCTTTGCCAACCTGTACTTTATTTAATCAACTCTTGATCAGCAAGCAGGAAGGATCCCTCCAGGTCTACATTGCACACATATGTGGAACTATTAGTCTGATCTGGATACTCTTAAGCATGGCAATGGGTTTCTGTGTGTGTGTGTGAACAAAAAAGATCTACTCCTATTTAGTTAGCAGTCGAATTGCATCAGTAATAACATACCGCCTCCCTGTTGGCTGGTGGTCGAAATATTTCCCCATCAGATTGGTCCCATGAGGAGTCACCTTCCCCTGTGGTCAGACAAGGACATGTGAGGACACAGAAAGCTTCTTCGGACAAACCATTATTGAACCAATAGTGGATGATGAGTGGATGAGTGGATGATGGGGAGTGGGGGGGGGGGGGGGTGGCTGGAAAATAGAACTGCAACATTCGTGGAAATGAGGTAAGCTTTTTTGGAGCAATGTGGAGAGATATTTTCTCTGTAACCAATCCTTTAGCTGGCTAGGAGCTAGAAACCCGTGCAGCAAACTTAGAAATTTATATTCAAAACAGGCTCCGTCAGTCTTTGCAAGGCTGCAAAGATTACGCTATATCAAATGAAAGGATTATCATTATTATTATTACCTCTGCAAACCTGACAACAGGAGTCTGAGACGGAGACTGGGAATGAGCAGGTCAGTTTCGGGCACGTCTTCAAGCCGCAGTACACGTTGCCTTCCTGGAGATCACAGGAAAGAAGAAGTCATTAAAGCCTTTGAAAAGATCACAAGCAGCACTGAACTCTCGAGAGGAACATTTCTGGATTTAATCGTCTTAACTTTCAAATTCCCAACCAAACTTCACCCTTTGTCATTCCAATCATACAACAACATCTTGCATTTATATAGTGCCCTTCAGGAGCGCTTAACAGTGGCAGAGCCTGACACCGAGCTGGGGGGACAGAGGAGGTGACCGCAAGCACGGACCTATAATAGGACTTACTGTTGTCCAGGACACTGGCAGAAACTCCTCTTTTGAATAGTGTTGATGGGATGAGTGTTAACATCTCAACGATGGCACCACTGACAATGCAGCCAATGCTCCCCAGTCCTGCACTGGTGCCAATTTAGACTATGAGGTTATGTCATGCCTAAGGGCTTGAAACCACAAGCTTCTGACCCAGAGATGAGAGCGCGACTGACTGAGCCAGGCTCCCGATAAATACTAACACCCGCTCCCAATCACTTGCACCTTTTAGTTAACAAATTAATCATGTTATTCAACCACAAAAAAAAAATGTTTTTTTCAGTCTTGGCTTCCCGTTTTGATCGTCTACTTTTAATCCAATCCAAAATACTCAGAGCTAGCGAGGAAGCTGCTTTAAATCTGTGACTTGACACAGATTGGAAGAGAAACTACAGTGGTTTTAAGACCACGCCACTCGCCAGATTGAACCGGGAATCGTGCATTAAAAACAGTACTTGATAGACTTTGGTTTTCCCTTCGTATCACATTACAGTGTCAAACCCCTCACATCTCCGTGTCTCGCTCATGTTATACATTATACTTTGGGACTGAAAACAATCGGTCACTCTTACTAAAGGGAGAATTCAATATGACAACTCTCTACTGCTGGAAAGAATCAAATGTTAGTTTAAAGCCCAGTGAGCAATATGAAGCACCAATGGGCATGTAATACTCCTCATTAGGGATAAGTCCCAAACAACATGAACGTCAATCTTTTACTTTCATTCAATTGTGCAAATAAATGAACACACGAGAGCGAAGGGAATAGGAGGAGTGGAGGCTAATGTGGAGTATGGAAAAGGAACGAGTCACAAAAGTTAAAGGTTGGCAGTGTAGTTGAAGACTTTTCTTTCAAAGTCAGACTCTCTAGTGCTCTGGGACGCTACCCTGTGTGAGAGGCGTTATATAGAATCAATTCCAATTCAATCCCACTAACCCGCTATAGAATTATACAGCACAGAAGGAGGCTATCAGGTCACCTTGCAACTTATAAATGCAAGTTGTCTCAAGAGAGCATCGTTGGGAGCTTGCATTGGAGTTTGTTCTGTATCTAATTTATTACTAACTTACCGAACAACTGCACTGAGCACACTGGTTAATCTGCCTGGACTGAAAGAGACTGTCAGCTCCAAACATCTCCCCATGCTGATAGGTGGTGCTGTTATATTCACACGATTTCCCAATGATCTTAACAGCCGTCGAGATATGATGCTCTTCTGCAGTTAGAGACAAACCGACAATAAAACAGTGCGATTACTAATAACATCATATAATAAACTGATGCCTTATAGGATCTCCAAGATCTTCTCAAAGTGTTTCTCAGGATTTTACTGTTGTTTAGTGACTGCTTATTTCGCTAGACGAATGTGGCAGCTAATTTGCGTACAGTAATGAACCATCTCGCAATGGCTTCAGGGCTGTTTGTGAGACATTGCTGTGCATAAATTGAGCAAATTCGCCCACAAAATATACACAGTCTCACCATTTTACAGTAAACTGCTGTGAAGCACTTTGAGGCGTCTCGACGAACATAAGATGCTATACCAAATGCAAGGATTATACTGAATGCTTGTCCAGCCTCTGTAAAGTGGAAACATCTCAAAAAAGCGCTTTGCTGGGAACTGTTGTCAAGTGTAGTGACTGTGGAGTGTCTCACACTCTCTGTTATCTACAAAAGCCTCTAAAGACTTTCAGGCAACTCCTTCCTCCAGTCTTATTTGCCACTTTGCTGTGGATTTCACTCTGCCTGTAAATTATTCATTGAAAGGGTATATTTATATATAACTATATAAGTGCAGTTGTATATTTGAGTAATACCTATTTTAGGTCTCTACACAGTCCCCATTGTAATATTAGAGCCAGAAATCTCTCTTTCGTCCTTTATTCCAGTTCTCAGACTGGCTGATTTTATCAATGGGCTGGGGGGGGGGGGTGCTGCTAAACACCCCAGAGATTAAAGAGATTAATACTGAGCACAAATGTTCCTGTTCAAATAAATATTATTGTATATAAATGTTGGAATAGTTCTAAGCACGCAAGGGTGGGGGGGAGGGCACAATATAATAATAATCCTTGTATTTGATACAGCCCATTATCATGTCTTCGAGATGTCTCAAAGCGCTTCATAGAATATACTGTAAAGTGTAGTGACTGTGTATTTTCTGGGCCAAACTGCTAGGCTAAAGAGGCATAAAAGAATGTGCACTGAGCAGCAAGTGACAATGTCAATGTGACACTCACAAAGCGTCTGCATCGCTGGCGATAACCCCCCACCCTCCAACACAGACAGACACACACACACACACCTCTCTCTCTCTCTCTCTCTCCAGTTCACAATGTGTATCCGCAGGAGACAGACTGAGCGTCAATGTGTTAGCAATCAGCCGAGCTCAGAGACTCCAAATGTAGACGGCTGATGCGGGAAGTGTGGCCAGGCTTCACAACGCTGGTGCCAGACACCCTGCCTCAGTGCCAAGGCGTTGGCCTTGGACGCGACCGGGGAGATCACAGTATGACTTATTTAATACCACCCCCTCCCCACAACAAAAACTGTGTGTGTGTGCGTGTGTGCGTCTGTGTGAAAAATAAAATATTCTGCTGAGAGCCTTTTGCTTTGTTGGCATTGCCAGGAGGGAGGGAGCGTTTGAAGGGAATTTATTCACTTGAATTCGATTTTATTTTGTTACACAGGACCCCATTGAGTGGGCCCGTCTTGTGATATTAAACTGGGAGGTGGGGGTGTGTGGGGTTGTTGGTGGGGGGGTGGGAGATTGAAGCTCATATCGAGCATTGGGTGAACGGGTTCATTCACTGCACCTCGTGGATAAAAGATCCTCATATTTGACCCAGCGCCTTTCTCGTCGGGAGGACGTCTCAAAGCGCTTCACAGGATTTTACCGTAGAGTGTATTTTGTATTTTGTGTGCAAATTGTCTGCCTACAGATATACAATCGCCAAATTTCACAGTAAAATCTTGCAAAGCGCTTTGAGTCGTCTCAATGACGTGATAAGGCATGGCATCAAATGGATTATTGTTACCGGATGTTCAGTGCCACTGACGCAGAAATCATTCGGACTCTTTGGAGGACAGACTCAAGTCGCTTTCCTTTTGTGAGACTCCGAGTGTTTTGATGAAGGATTTGAGAAAAGCTGGACTGCAGTGAACAACTGTCGGCAGAGGTGATGCTTGACTGAGCTGACAAAGCTGGGTTTGTGAGAGCCACAGAGGGGAGAAGATGATTCCCCAAATCCCGACCCACAACTCCAGACCCACTATAGTCTCAGCTGTTGTCTGCAGCTCCTGTAATATTAATGGTGGTGGCGTCTGTGGCTCGTGGTGCTGGATAGTGACAACTGGGAATCATTTCCAACCGGGCTCTTAATGGGTTTGTTGAGGAGGGGAATGGCTGACCCACCACCTCAAATGTGACAGAGGTTACGGGTCGTCCATCATTGTTATCAGCTGCACATTAATGCAAAGGTGCCCGGGGGGAGATAACACGCCTGATACACACTTAATATGAAAGGGGATGAACAGTGAGTGGCCCCCAGTGGGCTGAGTGAATGGCCTCCTTCTGTGCTGGGGTTTCAACGATTCTGTGCGTAGATCGGAGATTCTCCATCATTGAAGTCGCAGCTGAAAGCTCAGAGGGGCGAACGGCGCAATAGGGATGGCTTGGTTTGTTCTCCTTACAGCAGAGAAGGTTAAGGGGGGGATTCAATAGATGTAAGCCCTTAAATTTGCAGGGCTGAGGGGTAAGAGAGGGTTAGTTGGTAGCTCTTTCGAGGAGTCGGCACTGGCACAATGGGCCGAATGGCCTCCTTCCGCGCTGTAAGATTCTATGAATGTAGGAGATTGCAGAGGTAGGAAAGGGTGGGATGGGAGAGAATGGGAAAACAGGGTTAGATATTGCAGGGACGGTTGTGTGGTTACCTGAGCAGCGAGGGCAGCATTGCTGGGGGACTGTGACTGGGCTGGAGCAGGGCAGAGTTGGACATTTCACGGGAGTGCAGATCACGTGTCCGGTCTGGAAAACACAGAGTGGTTGGTTGGTTAGTTCCTGTGACCAGAGCAAAGTACAGAATGGACTATATTATTTTGTCGGCGAAACACAGCAGCCAATTGCTCACAGCTCAGCAGTGTCCCACAGACAATCATGGATTGAGTCGCCAAATTATTATTTTTTTTTGAAGGGATTATTACCCCCGGAAAAGCGATCCACCAATCGACTAACAATCGGGTTTCCACTTACTGCTGGTAAACAGAGGCGTGCGGAGTAAGGAAACCTGCCTAAGGTTGTGCCCCCTGCCCGGTAATTGCTGTCCAGCAGTGCCAGATTAACCAATAAACCAGGTAGGTGGTGTCTTAGGGCCCCGAGGTCTGTTGGCCTCTTTACCTCCCTCATCGCCTCTCTCCCCCCGTCACTCTTGTGCTTCGTACAATCTTGTGAGAGACAGCGCAGAGAGTGACAGGAAGGTTGCACTAAGAGTTGCTCCTAATGGGGGGGGGGGGCACAAACACACACACAGACAGAGACACACACACAGACACAGGTCACCCACCTCAGCGCACAGGCAGTTTATGCAGTAGACATATCCGTAAGGCTCCAGGTAAGGATGCCATCTCTCTCCCATCCGATATTTCTTATCATGGAATATGCAGACCGTGTCTGATTCTGTGGGTGTTTTTTTGTGGGGGAGATACATAACAAACACAGGTTAACCTCACTAAACTGACCTCACAACAATCCCGTCCGTGGAATCCCAGCAAGAGTCAGGGTAAGAAACATAGTGAGTGAGCGTATCTATGTCTGTCTCTCTCTGTCTGTGTGTAATCTGTCACAGCCAGCGTTTACACACTCACACACAGTTATGGACACACACACACACACACACACAAATACACAGACAAGCATGTCACATATGCAGGAAGGTTTTATCCCCCCCAACACACACTCTGATTCCGAGATTTCTGATTCACACAGCCCTGAATACAACAACAACTTACACTTGCGTAGTGCCTTTCATGTCGGGAGGCCATCTCAAGGCGATGAAATACGACCGTCAGCCAAGTTTATTTGCAGAGTGAAAGTATCTGACTGACTAGTCTCACTAACACTGACTATGTCAAACACGTGGACGAACCAGTCCGGGGCGTGTTGTTTTGGGACCAGAATAGAAACGAGGGAATTGCATATCTGGTGCCTCAAGTTTACTTTTTATATTTAATCCTTGTTTTGGGGGGAAAAACACATACATACATATGCACGGACGCACACACAATACACATACACACACACACAGTGCATACACACACAATACATACACATACACACACACACAACACAAACACACACAATACATACACACACACAATACATACACATATACACACACACAATACGTACACATACACACACAATACATACAAATACGCACACACAATACATACACACACACACTACATACACACACACAATACATACACACACACACAACACATACACATACTATACACGCACACAATATACATACACACACACATAATACATACACACACACTAACGCACACAATACATACATACACACACAAAACATACACACACAAACACACAATATACACTACACACACATGCACAATACAATACATACACACACGCAATACATATACACAAGCCCAGGAAGCCTTCTGCAGAGGCAGTGATCGAGGTGAGGTGAGGGATTGCCCACATGGTGGCCTGTGAGTCAGGGTTAGGGCAAAGGCGGTGACACTGAATATAACATGAGCAGAGTGCCCGACTGTCAGAGAAAGAAGCCTGTCTTGGTTTTCACAGGTTAGGAGAGGTTCAGAGGCTGTGTCTCGGGCAGTCGGCTAAATGGATCTGTGGGTCAGGCAGAGAATTTACACCCAAACAGTTTTGTATTAGGATTAACCCAAACCAGACTCTCACACTTTATTGGGACCAGGACCTCATTGGGTCTGGGTTAGAATCTGTGGTGTTTTTCGTCGTTTTGGGGTTAGAGTCTAGGCTGTGCTGTCGGTTTAAAGCGTTAGAATTACTCAATCCTGCCATCCAACCCCTCACGGAGCTTCACACCTGATTGCTGTGAAGTGTAGTAACTGTGTATGTGTGTGTGTGGTGACTGTGTGTGACTGTGTGCGCGTGTGTGGCTGTGTGCGCGTGTGTGGTGACTGTGTGTCCGTGTGTGGTGACTGCGTGTGCGTGTGGTGACTGTGTGTGTGTGGTGACTGTGTGTGTGTGGCGACTGTGTGTGCGTGTGGTGACTGTGTGTGTGTATGTGTGGTGACTGTCGGTGAGTCAGATTCTGTTGTTCAGACACAAAGGCTATAACGTGGCTGGAGGAGGGAGTGTGAGAGTGCACAGGGAATGAGCGCACAGACTTACTTACCTTTGTTTGCCTCTAACGTCCCCACCTCAGCCCTGAGCAGTAGCACAGCGCAGTAAAGGAACAGAGCCAGTTGCTCTCTGCTCAGCACTCTCCAGATCGCCCTCATCTCAGTCACCTCTACTGAAGGATCCACTGGGGTATGGAAAGGGAGAGAAAAACAGCGGGAGGGAGCGAATGAGATGAATGAGTTAACAACAACAATAATAATAATCCTTGTATTTGATACAGCGCCTTATCACGTCTTCGAGACGTCTCAAAGCGCTTCACAGGATACACTGTAAAGGTACGAGGTTTCCACTTTCGTTTTTGTGTTGGAGATGGGAAAGGTGTGAGAGACAGACAGACAGACAGACAGACAGACAGACAGACAGACAGACAGACAGACAGACAGACAGACAGACAGACAGACAGACAGACAGACAGACAGACTGCGTAACAAATCCCACGAACACGCATGGATTTCCTCCCTCCCTCCCTCCCCCCAAATAAAAGGAATTCATTGCCTTGTTAAATTATCAACACATTCCTGTTCCGCGCTGGTTCCTTAGGGCTCTTATTGCCAACAGCTATTCCAACCCCCCGAAAAATACTCCCGATTTTCAATTAAAAAGTGACATTTCACACTTCATGTACAAACCAGAGGAAATAGTTAATCCTCAGTCCATATTTCTCCGCTTTTCACTTAACCCAAACTAGCCAAATCTAATAGTCTGGGTTGGCACAATTCTCTGGTGTTGGCACTTTAAGGTGCATTAATTACTGTGTGTAAGTCAAGCCCAGCCTTTACTGCCAAATTATAACTCTTTCTCTCCTCCCACACTCACACGCACTCACACACACTGACTGCCCGTCTAAACTGCACCAAACTCCCATCAGTTTGCTGGGTTGTTCTTCTCAGAAGACAGCAAATGACCCCATTAATAGAAGTGGTACAAACCATGTTATTGCTTGTATTTGCAAACTGTAATCAGAATGGGAATAGAGTAAATACTGTGTGTGTTTCCCCCCCACAACCTGCCATATAGTCTATGTGTGAATACATTGTGTGTGCACATGATGTATGTGTATATGTGTATTTGTATGTGTGTCCGCGTGTGTGTATGTGTGTGCATAAGTGTGTGTGTGTGTATACATTGTGTATGCGTATATATTATGTATATTGCGGGTAAACAAAAGCACCAGACACTCTGTGTGCTGGGTCAGTGTTAACTCTTTAACCCACCCTGGCTAGGAAGCAGCCATCTTCGCGGTGGGAAATCTCTCCCGTTGACCTTTCAGGAAACCAGTTAGGGATATTTTGCTCTTGATAAGCCCCTGGTCTTAGCTGGAGCCACTGGAGGTGACATCTGTTATTATTTTGGCCAAACCAATTGGCATTTTGTTGCCCAAGGGCAGGTGGTTGATGGAGAGCCACATGGCATAATTACTGTCCACCCTCCCCTCTGGTCCCTCTGCTTAACTCCCGGCCAGTGATCAAAGTATATCGTATACAGTCCCCACAGTTTCGCCCCACTGACCCCAAATTTGGTCACTCAATCCACGACTGTTTGTGGGGACGCTGCTGTGTGCAATTGACTGCTGCGTTTCACCCACAAAAATACAGTCAATCCACTTTACAGTACATCCTGTGAAGCGCTTTGAGACGTCTCAACAACGTGATAAGGTGTTGTATCAAATGCAAAGATCATTACTATTATTATTTACAATCAATCCTGTGAAGCGCTTCGAGGTGTCCTCCAGACATGAAAGGCGCTGTATCAAAATGTAAGGATTATTATTATAAATATATAAATCACCAGTAGTCAACATCCCCCCTCAAAAAAAAATCAGAGAATAGTTCCATTGGTTTGAAGGCAATATAAAAGGACACAATTTTTCACTTCGTTTTAAAATTAAAAATAAATTGATGTAATAATTATTTGCATTATGCAACGATGATTCATAATTCTTCCCAATTTTTTCCCCCAAACAGTGGTGCATTGAGTGATCGAACTATTACTTTTAAATTTTATTTTTGAAGGGATTATTAATGATCCCAGGAAAGCGATCCACAAATCGCCTAACCACCAGGTTCCTTACTTAAACAGAGTAGTAAACAGAGGAGTGTATCATACATTTTCTTGCAGTGCAGAACCTGGGAATGAAACTGTGAATAATTCACAATTTATGTCGCGAAAAAAAATGTGCAAATATAAAAAAAAACGCACAGACACACAAATAAATGACTTTCCCCCAGAAAAAGTCAAAGGAATTGAATAAACAATCATTGCATTGAAAAAGAGAGAGAGAGAGAGAGAGGACTTACCAACAGAGAGTGCCCAGTGTTGCTGTGTGTGTGTGTGTGTCCTCTGAGCCTTTCCTTAAATAACGTTGCAATGAGTTGGACACAGAGTCGAGGGTTGAGACGCAGTGATAATTCTCACTCTGGGAATTTTCTCTCTCTCTCTCTCTCTCTCTCTTTCTCTCTCTCTCAGTTTGCAATGTGGGGCAGGAGAGAGGGAGAGAGATATGAAACACCAGACAGACAGACAGATAACCAGTTAGTCCTTCAATTCGATCCACTTGAGGCACACACTCACTCACACACACTCACAGAGGTGGTGAGAGTTGGGAGGAGAGAGTGAATGTGTGTGACTTCACACACAGCTACTGACGCCTCTGATAGGAGATCAGCTATTTTCACACTCACACACACACTGACCTTACACACACTCACACACACTCCCTGACTATAAACTTTCACAGACACACACACTACACAGATAGAGAGTGAGTGAGAGAGAGAAAAGGAGAGTGGAAGAGAAATAGAGGGATAGAAAATCCAGAGAGCAAAGCCACAGATTGGCAGACACTCACACTCACACAATAATTGTGAGATGAATTGTTGATTTTTTTGTGATTCTCTCCCACCCCAACCCCCCCACCCCACACACACACACCCCTCTCCTTCCCCCCCCTCTCCCTCTCCCTCCACGTGCAATCTGACAAGAACACATCAAGTCCCCAGTCAGAATTAACACCCAAGTAACATTTTATTTCAAATAACAGTTTCGCCCACACCAGTCAATTCACTTTACAGTGTATCCTGCGAAGCGCTTTGAGACGTCTCGAAGCTATGATAAGGCGCTATATCAAATGCCAGGATTATTATTATTATTATTGTGCCACTTTTTTTCAGTTTATGGTAAAGGAAAACTCACTGTGTGTGAACAGCTCTTGGTTTCCAAACCCAGGGGCTGCCGAGATGATCGAGTCTTGGAGCAAAGCCAGGAACTAAAACCCAGTGTGTTTGTGTTGTGTTGGAAGATGAAGCTATTGCCTTTGATTAATTGTGGCGTTTCACCACAGGGAGCTGGGGATTTTTTTGCCATGAGAGAGAAAGAGAGAAAAAGAGAGAGTGAGTGAGAAAAGAAACTGCATTTCCATTAATCGCTCTGTGGAAAAATAATAACTGGTCATATGACACAAATTCGGAGAATCAAGCTCATTAAAATCGAGACGTGGGAGTTTTTTTGAACGTGTAAAGATAGAGAAAACCATTGAGCGATTGGTGCTTCTTGACCCGTGAAGTGCATCTAAACACTTTGGTGGAGTCCTGTAGCTCAGTGGTTAGAGCACTCGCCTCGCAAGCGAGAGGACCCGGGTTCAATTCCCATCTGGGGCGAAACGTTAGGCCAGTTTCCTTACCCCACACGCCTCTGGTTACCAGCAGTAAGTTAGTCTATTGGCGGATCGCTTTTCTGGGGGTAATAAAATCCCTTTTAAAAAAAAGTGGTCACTCGATCCACAACTGTTCATGGGACACTACTGTGCGCAATTGACTGCCCTGCTTTGCCCACAAAATACAGTCAATTCACTTTACAGTATATTCTGTGAAATGCTTTGAAACGTCTCGAAGACATGATAAGGCGCTGTATCAAAAATGCAAGGATTAGACACCTTGTGTACTGTTAGTCAGAGCTCCTTCCATTCCAGCCTCTGTTTCTAATCTTCTGCTGTTGTTGGCTCACTGGCATTAACTTATGTAGAAATGACTGATTTCACACAGAATACAGGATCCAATGCCAAGTCTGGAGCACTTTCCTGCAGAGGAATAATGATGGATACAGTACTTGGGAGTGAGTCATAAGGATGCGATCTGAAGCCCTTTTTTCTGCACACAGAATAATAGTTACCTGAGAGTCAATGCAAGACTGGTATCCAGATGTTCAGATGTGTTCCACAGAGAATAATAAATAATGCAGAGAAATTACATTTAACCGAACCGCTTATTAACCGAACAGATCATTTCTCAATAATAAATAACAACCCTGGCATTTTAACATTGCGCCCTCAAAGAGCTTCACAGGATTTTAATGTGAAGTTGGAGGCCAGGCGAGGTGAATGAGCTCGCCAATTTGCACATAACAATCTTCCACAAATAACCACAAAGTGACTGGCTGATTTTATCTGGGGGGATTGTTAGCCAGGACACTGGGAGACAGAAACTCCCTTCTCTTTTCGAAAGCACCATAGGATCTTTAATGTCCTCCCGACCAGGCAGACGGGACCTCGGTTTAACGTCTGTCTCATCACAAGGACGGCACCTCCGACAATACAGCGCTATCTGCCCCTCCCCCCCCCCTCAGCACTGCATGATCTATAATCCAGAATGATAATGATCTCAAAGTGGCAACGTGGGGTTTGATCCAGTATCCGACTGACTCAGAGACGAGAGTCCTCCCAACTGACTGGGTCAAGCTGATGCTTAATGAATAAACGTGGCTAAGTATCTACGGTGAACATTTAGCAAGAGAATAACTTGTAGGTTGACTCCTAAGGTCGGGAATATATTACAGTGACGTTAAAGAGAGACATCTGGAAAAAATTAGGACGCAATAATGATTACAATATTGGTAGCAGCGTATTGAGGGAACTCGCTTAAGAGTGAAATCAACACAGGTTTGATTGCTGAAGGACTGGATTGGAAAAGTAGTTAGATTAGAGACTGCCACCACGGCTCTGTCGTCTGTGGGAAACAATTGGCATTCGCGTAGAGATTCCTTGTTAAAATTGGACCCTGGTTGTAAATAACATATTTGCAAACCTGACCTACATAAATAACTTTGAAGAAAAACAAACTTCCCTCCTCCCCACCTCTCTTTCCTTCCTCCCCATCTCTTTCCTTCCTCTCCATCTCTTTCCTTCCTCCCCATCTCTCTTTCCTTCCTCCCCACCTCTCTTTCCTTCCTCCCCATCTCTTTCCTTCCTCTCCATCTCTTTCCTTCCTCCCCATCTCTCTTTCCTTCCTCCCCACCTCTCTTTCCTTCCTCCCCACCTCTTTCCTTCCTCCCCACCTCTCTTTCCTTCCTCCCGACCTCTCTTTCCTTCCTCCCCACCTCTCTTTCCTTCCTCCCGACCTCTCTTTCCTTCCTCCCCACCTTTCTTTTCCTCCTCCCCACCTCTCTTTTCCTCCTCCCCACCTCTCTTTCCTTCCTCCCCAACTCCAGTTCGGGTGCCATTTCACCACTTGTCAACGAGCTTTGCGATGTCCTTCCGATGTGAAGAGCGCTATGTAATTACTGTGCGCATTTGGCTGTCGTGTTTCGCCCACAAAAATACACAGTCACTACACTGTACAGTATATGCTGTGAAGCGCTTTGAGACATCTCGAAGACCTGAAAGGCGCTATACAAATGTAATTTTGTTGTGATAAGGCGCTATATCGAATGCAAGGATTATTATTAATATTATTATAAATGTCAATTGTGTTGAACTGTAAAGTGCTCTTGAAGAGGACTTTGCATTTTTTTGGGTACCCTTTATGTGTCTTTCCAGTGATTATGGTATTGTTAAGTGTAGTGACTGTTTTTCTCGAAAAATACAGCAGTCATTTGCATCAGCAAGGACTTACAGTCAGGAGGTA